ATTCCTGCTCAGTGCTGATGCTCTTACAGCCTTCTAACTCAACTCTCAGCACTTCTCTTTCCCCCCCCAGCCTTGCTGCATCTTTGGAAAATCTGAACCAGCACTGTGTTCATAAGACATGCCATCAGGGACCAGTGCCGTTCACACCCAGAGGCGCCCATGGGACTTGACACACCAGAGATAGCGAAAGCAAATAGTGTAAAGAAAATCAGAAGCAAGAGAAGGAGAACTGGCTGGGAGGCACCCGGCTGGACAAGCGCTGGGGAGATGCGGAGAGGAGACCTCAGAGCTGAAAGCCTGTCACATTGGTAGCAAGTGGTCATCTCGTTCTTCTGACTCCTCGCCCAGCTGGTCGTCACCCACACCACGGTACGCAGCTGGCGCGTTTCGAGGCTTGGATCGGCAGACAAAGTCGCAGCCATCCTACGAGCACAGGATATTGCACCGGAATCAGACTGTGTGCAATCGACTCGGCATCCAAAGCAAAGCAGCTTCTGTGATTTCTCTTCTGTAAAGGGATCATGCCTATCCCTGTGCTATCTGGGAGAGGTCCCCAAAACTTGTCTTGACCAGAGGAGCACACGTACAAAGATCCTACTCAGTCTTGAAAGCTCTGGGCGTACTGGTTAACAGCATGCAGCACCATCATGCTGAGCACAGGGGATAAACAGCACTGCCTAAGGTGACCAAGGAGGGGCTTCAGGCAGTCGGACATGAACCCTTCACAGTCACCAGCTTAGCTCAACATTCCTCCCTGGAATATGTTAACCATTAATGAGCATGTTTGTTATGTAGCAATCACAGGGTATCAGCAGGGAATCAGACTCCGCAAGGATTCCAAAACAGAGTACTCAAAAAAAGCAAACCATAAACCCAAAACAGATATACTCTCTTCTTCTGCCTCAAAGTACACTACCCTGGCGGTAGCTACACCCAAGAGACTGTCCACAAAGGTAAGGCAGATGCCATTTTCTCCTGTCCTAGTGAATGGGCCAGGCTGGGAATATACAGGGATTTTCACTCACCGCCACCAAATTGCCCAGATCTTGCCAGAAGGCGAAGTGAGGGAACTGCTCCATGCCCTTGGCTCCTACTACAAGGCGCTGGTAAAGGAACCCACCAATGATGTAGACTGCAATTACCGAAGCAAACCTGGAGGGCAGAATTAAAAAACAGAGCTCAGGAAATCCTATAGACAACCTCTTCTGAGCCACCTACCTACCTCAGACTGGTACTGTAGCAAGTAGCTGAGCACCACTCAAGAAGAGAGCTAGAGACCAGACCAGAAAAGGTCCCCACAATATTGATCTGCTAGTACAAATCTTTCAGCAGTGTCACATGAAGTACTGCCTCTAAGCACAAACACAGCAAATTAGTCAAGATTCCTGGTCTGAATTCCCAGCTCTGGCAAAGAGCTGTTGTACAATTTTAGGAAGTCACATCTTCCATGTTTCAGTGCACCCGTCTGTAAACTGTGAAGGAGGATGTCTACAGGGAACAGAGCAGCTCTGCAGCATCATGCCTTAAGAAAGAGCTTTTGTCCCAACAGCTGAAAGGCACAGTAACGGCAGCTGTGGATAGGTATACTACAATTATCTAGTCTACTATAACATTTGCTACATTTCTAAATGACACTGGAGATTACAGCCCAGACACCAACAGCTCTTCCTGTAGGTGATACTCACGTGATCAGCAGAATGGAGCCAACGCTGAGGGGGGAGTCCTTCGCTGGACAC